TTGACAGCGAAAAGCAGCTGGCAACAGGCAGCAGCACGCATTGCAATTGCAATTGACAGTTGCCTTAAGTAAATGCAGCCAAGATTCAGCTTAATTGACTTGAGCATGCACTTCAGCAAATGTATCTGAAATTAAATGTATTTCTATGCAAATGTTTCTCATTGCAAATGCATGTGAAAGCCAACAGAACTTTATTAATATGCATATTAACTTCAAGTTTAAACTAAACCAACACATCTTGCAATTTACAGTCACATGTTCCTGCATCTAATCATTCATAACTAAATTCTAGACTTAACATTCATGTTAACACTAACGGGAGTTTCAGAAAACATCACTGTAGGACAATTTACTTTAAAGAAATGTTCGCAAATGTTAATTTTAACATAAATGTAATCAAACAAAGCTTTATAACTACTGCCCCTACAGTTGTCTGAGCCCTCAAAATGAAACCTACATGTTAACTGTGATATGTTAACTCAGCAAAAGTACAAAAATAAACTAATATATCTGAAAATGCAAGCAATATGAACTTTACAAAGCTGTAAAAAGCCCTGATCTAACATGCTTGTTAAGTTTAACATTTACCTGCCCGGTCTACCTGTCCAAGTCCGGTCTACCTGTCACGATAACGCCATAGATGAGCAACAAAAAAAGGTCTGGCTAACATGCATGTTAAATTTCACATGAACGCTAAACAAACGTTACTCAAAGCAGTTGCCATTTTAGCTGCAGTTATTGCTGTCACGCCCCCCATTGTCTACTCGTCGCGCCCTCTTTGTTGAACGTGTGACAGAGCTTTTCATTTCGGCTTTATTTCGCATAATTTTTGCGCCTTTATGCGAGGAGCCTTTGAAGCGGCATTGAAAGGCAGCCAACCGCGACGCGTTCACATGTCAAATTGCATGTGAAGCTGTGTGAGCAGGTGTGTGTGAGTGAGTGAGTGAGTGTGTGTGTGGGTGTGGGCGTATAGCTTTCAACATAGCTGCACACTCTTAATTGTTTGTTTGCCTCTGTGTCTGTCACAGCGTCCCACCTCTGTCTCGCTGCAGGCGTCCCTCTCTCGCGCTCTCTTTCTAACGCTTGCTGTCTCTATTTACGCTTTGCACGTCGCCTTTTGTTTAGTTTTTTACGTCTGGCCAAATTCGAAAGCTCGAAAACTTGAAGCAACAAACAACACAGCCTGAAGGACAACAACTAAATAAGACTCAAGCGTAACAATAGCAATGGACTTGTTTTATTTCTATGCCCTACACTGGCAGGCATACCGTTTCACTGAGCAAGCTTGCCATTAGATGATTTCTCTTCTTATTATTTTTTTTTTTTTCGTTTCTCTGAAATTTGATTTGCCAACTAGCTGTAGGGAATTCAGGCTTCAGCTTGCTTGCTATGATGCCCTTATTTCTTCTTGACTTTATTTTTTAGCGTAGTTTTTTCCCCTTTTTTTCGAGGCTCAGACAACTTAATGCTATTTGCTTTACACTACCCCTCTCTCTCTGTCTCTCTCTCTCTCTCACTCTGTCACACATTGTCCGTCTCTGTCGCAGTTGCGTGCACCTTAGAGTCCCTTCGGCATCTCAGCTCCACTCCGCCGCTCTCCACCCACAGATCCTTTGTTTGGCTTTCTTAACAACTTAAGCACGTCGTCTATATTGGTTTTCGGGCGCTACTCTTTTAAAAAAAGATTTCGCTTCCTGCTTCTGCCTTTGCTTTGTGAAAATAATCACGCGCAGCTTGGCGTTTTTTTTTTTTTCTGTTTTTTTTTTTTGCCAACATTTTTTTTTCCTCCTTCCCTTGCACGGGTTTTCTTTTGCTTTTTCACACTTGGCTTCTTCCGCCTGGCGCCGGGCAACTTATAGTACGCCCTCTATTGTTTTCTTTTAATTTGTAGCTCAGCGCCTTTCCTCAACAAAAAATAGGCAAAAAAAAAAAACGAAACACAAAAAAAAGGGCGACAGGAAGGGCCAACGACTGTGCGTCCATGTCTAACAGCATATTAAGTAAGTGAACCGGTTCACGAGTGCCTTAAAGCTGTTGACTAACTAGTTCAAACTGTGAACTCCTTAGAGTTGACTTTGCCAAACGTGAACTCTGAGCATATGATATGAGGTGTGATGTTTAGCCAAGATGAAATATTTAAATTCAATTTGAATTGGCTTGGGGAAAAGGGTAATGGGTATTACTATTATTAATGTAACAGACAGAGGAATCTACATGCGCAGTAGCTGACTCTAGCCAGCTTAGTTTAACTACATGTCAGAGCTAAACTAAAGGAAATTTAAAAGGATTTCCTGTTGTTTATCCTGTGTGTATTTATCTGGTTTCTCCCATCAATTAACATGTACATATATATATATATACGAGTATGCATGCATAATTTATATAGACAATCGTGCATAAATCAGCTTAAGGAATTTCATA